GGGTGTTATGCACAAACAATGAATCATGGAACACTACATCAAAAACTAATGATGTAATGTATGGTGATTAACATAACAATAAAAATTAAAAAAAATAAAATGTAATAACTGGAAAAAGCCTAGATTAACAACAACAAAAATCAGTTGACTGAAAACAGTCAAGGAAAGAAAGCAGCAGGAATTTATGAGATTTCTGTATAATCTGTCATAAGAATTCCATCAGGGAAAATACACCATTACCTAAAGTTAGCCAAAAGGATATAAATGCTCAAGTGATGATGAAGAGGAAACACTTTTCACTTGTAAAAACAGGACAGAAAAGCATTTTCTTCTTTTGTAATGAAGAGATCTAGCTAAAAATAATTAAAATTCGGGCAGAATATTCTTATTAGTAGCCATGCTCTCCGAATGTTAGCCAAGTGTCGGGGAGAAACCCATTTCTTGCTAATTTAGCATATAATTTCACAGTTCATGCTCTAAAAATCTCACTATACTCCTTCTCACTTTCTCTGTTTACGAACATTTCTACCAGGGGGTTCTGGGATGACAAGAACCATTTTGGTTGTGAAAGCTCTGCAGTTTACCACAACATGTTGTGTTTTCCCTCCACTGGTCATGTTCAAGCTACTGTTAAGGCCTGGTCGTAAACAACTCTGGGTGTGGATATTATGGACTATTGTGGAAAGTATCCACATCTCCTTCCAACCAGATAACACAATGAGAAGCTACAGTGGTAGCAAATGTCACATAGTTGGAAGTCACTGGGAACACAGGGTGGGGATTTTAGGAAGTACATGAAGGAGGAACATTAGCCACTCCCACTGTGCAAGAGACAAGGAACTAGTGAGGAGATTTCAAACTTGAAAACAGTCAGTACTAACAGACTGAGTAAGATCAGGAGCTGGACTTTAAAAAAAAAAAAGTTTGCTTTTAAGCAGGATTCTATATTACCCTTCCCTTGGACTTTAATTTCTAGGCTGCCATCACCAAAAACTTATTATTACCAAAAAATAAGTATGAACTGTGTTTTAAAAAATTTACGTTATGCTAGAAAAGCAGTGGCCTTGTGTGGCTGAAAACTCTTAAGTTAAAGGCAGAGCTATTAAACTCTAATACCAGAGAAACCACAGTTTTAGAAGTGGTTCCAAAAATTCAATACCTGGATTACTGTAACCCAAAATTCCAACCACAGCAAGCTGCACTAAAAGAATACCCCTACTCTGATACATCCATAAAACCCCATTATTTTAAGTAGTCTTGAAAACCCTAACAAACTGAGATTTCATGCTAAGCATTAATTTTTGCCAAAATGAAACTCATTCAAAATCATCATCATAAACTCACCTGTAAAGGCTCACTGTGAGGATTGTGTATATTTATTATAGGTGAGAAACTGCTGTTCACAGGGACTCTGGCCCCAAGGAATGGCCTCAATCGATATGGGTTTGGAACCCCAACACCAAATACCTATTTCAAAGATGAAAAAAATGCACTTTGAGTTGCTTTCATAACTAACATTTTTATAGTTATAACTGATTGATCTAGGGAAAACTAGCGAGTCTATTTAGATGGGAAAAATCTTAACCACCTTTAAAAAGATCACACATGTAATTTCTGTACTTGATTTGGCTACATATTTGATTTGCTACATATATATGTGTATTCGGAATTATTTCTACAATATATTGGAAATTAAAATGATAGCAGTCCTTCATGAGCTCAGAGAATAGACAAAAGAAGAAAAGAGGGAATCAAATGATTTCCTTACTCCAACCATAAGGAGATGGATCTAGGGCCCAAGCGATTTCCCAAATATCAAGCCCAGCTCCAGGTCATACCCACATGGGAAGGCAAGGCCCTTTGTTGACTGAGTAAACAGGGTGAGCCAGTCATTCAAATGACAAATATTTATTAAGTGCTTATGATGTGCTAGGCACAAATATATACATAGTGAATGATTTAATAGTGAATAAGAAAGGTAATATGCCTGCTGTCATAAAGCTTATATTCTAGTATGAGGGACAGACTAGAGAACAATAAAAAAAGTTCTAAAAAAACAGGTAATGTGATATAGAATAACTGAATAGGGTGAGGCTGGGAATGCTCTTTTAGAGAGCATGGTCAGGGCAATCTTCTTTGAGGAAGTGATGTGAGCTGATGTCACCAGCAAGATGAGAAAATCCAGTAATGAGAGTGTATTCAGGCGAGGGGAAGTATACAAAGGGCATGAGGCAGGAAAGGGGTTGACTTGTTTGAAGACCAGGAATAAGATGAGAAGCAGGATCAAATGGGATGAAGTAGGAGGACTATATGGGAGTCAGAACCTCAGAGGCCTGCTGGCCTTAGTCAGAAGTTTACATTTTGCTCTAAGAGCAATGGGACAATATTAGGATTTCCATGGGCAAGTTGACTAGATGTGGTTTATGATCACAGAAGGTCACTCTGACTACAGTGAATGATGGCCTATGGTAGGGCCTGGAGAGGTATGGAGGGCCTGTTGGAGGCTACTGTGTCATCCAGCAAGAGGCAATAGTGGCTTAGAAGAGAGCAGTGGCAGTGAAGAGGAGAGAGGTAGACAGACTCAAGATATATTTAGGAGGGGGACTTTGTGAGAGACTAGATGTGGAGAGGTGAAGAAAGATAGCTGGTCACTGAGGCTCTCCTTGAGAATGGACTACCCGCAAGTAGTCCAGCTTGGTCACAACCACCCAGGCAACTGGGGGTGCCTCTGTGGAGCAAAGGTCTTAATATTCTTACGATGGTCTTCACTTACTCAACAGGTGCTTGTTAAATGAGTGTCATCTGTACAATACTTCAAAGTTACTCATCTGTGCAGGCTGCCTACTAAACAACCACTACAGACTTATTTACCATACATAAACCCAAGTGCCTGACTAATCAGTTTACTCTGACACCAATTTTCAAGCTACATGGTATGTTCTGGGTCCTGGAGAAGAATGTTGAAAACAAAATCATAAAATCTGTCAAGTAAGACATTAGCTAATAAGTAAGGAGTTAAACCAATGTGTTCCAAGCGCAGTATAACACAGTGGTTAATAGGATGGTCTTTGTAGGTACAAAGACATGGGTTTGAATCCCTGCTCAATAACCTACTAGCAGCATTAATTTGAACCAATTATTTAACCTTTCTAAACTTCACCTTCCTTATCTAAAAAAAAAAAAGGCTAACGGTATCTATAACACAGGCAGAAATGCATGTAAGGTATGTAGTATAGTGCCATATAAGCAATTCTTCTTAATAATCTTGATAACCTTGATATACAAAAATTTTGATTCATAAAACATTAACACACTTTAATAACCTAAACAATAATTACACATAAAAAGAACAAATTTTAAACATTTACTAAAGAAAAGCAGGCATGCATGTTTTAATCTTGAAACCATTATCAAGTATGCTTCATAAATGTGCAAAGTAAAATTTTAAAAAAATTAAGTCAGTATAAAATATTTTTTACTATTATTTTGCTAACCAATCTTACATTAATGCTTTAGCTGTAGCTTTAATAGATTGTTCAGTTTGATTTGCACAGGGATAGTCACAGACACAGCAGTAAATAAAAATGCTCTAAGTCTAAACTCTTACATTTCTTATTATCCCTGAGTTTTTAAAGAGACTTCTTGATAGGCTGTCATATGATACATCAGAGATGAGGACTATATTTTATAAAATAAATGAAAGTTTTCATCCTGCTTCTTACCTGGTAAGTAAATACCCCATGATTGGATGTGTTAATAAATAAAGTATTTTCTACATTTCCCACTACTCTTGCAAGAAAAACTACATCAAATGATGTATTTCCTCCTGGAAGTATTTTCTGAAAAAGAACAGCAATAAATAAAGTTAAATTAATAACTAAAAAATCTGATTATGCTGACCACAATTAAATAGTTGAAGTTCTCTAAAACAATCATCTTAGAATCATTTCCATGAACTAGCTTCTCCCCCACGATGGTTTAAGCTTTAAATTAGCTCAATTATTCTGCTATGGAAAATAATAAAAAAGATGTCTTCATATTGATGTCTACAGTCATATAGCTTTGTCAATTACCAGCCTAAAACCCTGTACAGCAGATGGTTTCCTTAGATTCCGTTCATTCAACAATCACTAGGCTGGAATGAAGTGCCTAATTATAGGCTGCTCCCTCACCACATAATCAGGCAGGAGTTTAGCCAAAGCTGAGCTTCTTATATAGATGTACTACTCTACTATTAAGCAGCAACTTGTACTATTCCAAAGAAGAAATAACCCCAGGCCTCAACCCCTTGACCTCCGTCACCCATTCACACAAGGCACTGTATGGGCCCACAACTTAAATCAGGAAAGAAGGCAGGGGTGGCAGTTATGTGCAGAAACTCACTCCCGTTATTATGTGCAGATTGAGGATGTCACTGTAGTTAGTGAAATAAAACTTTATTACAACAAAACAATTACGCTACTCCATGGACTTCAAGGGACTTTGACTGCAGTTCTGTCTGCAATGAAGCTCTACAATGCAGAGTCATCAACCTCTCTCTTTCTGCCTCTATGGCTCGAACTCTAAAACGCTCCCCAGATCGTAGCTTAGCTTATCAACAACCAAAAGAATGATCTACGAAATCATAACTTTTCTTGAACCTATCACAGAGTTTGTGTAACAAGTAGCCCAAAATTTAAGGAAAGACAAGCACCTCCAAAGAGATGGAATGTATTGGCTCACCCATGGCAGAGAACAGGAAGATGAGGCTACCATATAAGACGGTAAAATGCATTCAGCTAAAATTTTTATACTCTGCTAAAAGCTGATAGCAGGCTAAAAGGAGAGTATACAACCACTAGAAGCTGCAGACACTACATGGAGGTAACACTTGAACCAAAGTCAGTAACAGGAAGATACTTGCTAAATCTCTAAGTAGCTTGAAATTAACACACTTCTAAATAACCCACTGATGAAAAAAGCAGTCACAGGGAAATTAAAATATTCTGAATCAACTGAAAATTAAAACACAACATATCAAAATTTGTTGGCTGCAGCTAAAGCAACATTTGGAGGGAAATGTACAGTATTACATGCTAATTTTGAGAAGAAATGCTTCAAATCAATAATCTATGTTTCTACCTTGAGAAACTAAAAAAAAAGAGTAGATTAAACCCAAAATATACAAAAGGAAGAAAATAACAGACAAAAGCAGAAAGGAATAAAACAGAAAACAGAAAATAGCAAAAGGTCAATAAAACCAAAGACAATGCTCAAAAAGATCCATAAAACCCTAGACAAAATAAACTAAGATTAAAAAGGAAGAAGACAAAAATATAAGAAACTGAAATGTGGACATTAATTTATACCTTTTACACATAAAAGGATGATTAAAGAATATTACAAACAACTATGACCATAAATTTAATAACTACAATAAATGGACACATTCTTTGAAAAACATAATGTGCCAAAGCTCATTCAAAATGAAATAGATGATCAGGACAGACCTACACCCATTAAAGAAGTTTAATTTGTAGTTTAAGACCTTCCCACAAAGAAAAGCCCAAGCCCAGACGGTTTCATTGGCAGAATGGTAGAATTCTCTACCATCTATTTAAGAAGGAATTAATATCTATCTTACGTACTTTACAACATACAGAAAAGGAAAGAACATTCCCCACCTTGTTTTATTGGTTCAGCATCACCCTGATACCAAGGCCAAAGACTTGATGAGAAAAGAAAACTACAAGTCAATATGCCTCATGAATGTAGACATACAATCAACATACAATATTGGCAAATTAAATCCAGTCAATATATAAAAATTAGTAATACACCATACGACTAAGTGGTTTTTATCTTGACAATGCAACTCTAGTTCAACATGTAAAAGTCAAATCAATGTAATTGATATTATCAACTTACTAAAGAAGAAAAGTCAGATGGTCATTTCAAAAGGTACATAAAACGAGTTGACAAAATTCAATATCCACTCATGATTAGAAATCTCAGTAAACTGGTCAGAAGAGAAATTCCTCAACCTGATAAACAGCATCTAAAAACCCCTAGAACTACCATATTTCATGCTGAATGACTGAATGTTTTCCTGCTGAAATGTGGAACAAGGCAAGGATGTCCTCTCATGACAGCTGATCAACATTATATTGGAAGTATTGGTCAGCGCAATGAGGCAAGAAAAAGAAACAAGAGGCATACACATTAGAAAGTAAGAACAATCTGTCTTTATTCACAAACAACATAGCTGTCTACATGAAGAACTCCAAAAATATCTTCAAAAATCCTCCTAGAATAAAAGAGTTTAAACAAATCACAGGTATCAAGGTCAATGTATAACGATCATTTTTGTATTTCCATATACTAGCCACGAACACTAGAATTCTAATTTTTAAAAAAGCATCATTCACAATCACACACACAAAAACGTTGAGGTGTAAATCTATTAATGTGAAAATTCTGTAAGATGAAAACTACAAAATATTGTTAAAAGAAATCTAAAGAAGCCTTTAAAAAAAAAATGGAGACATACTGTGTTCATGGATCAGAAGACTCAATATTGTTAAGATGTTAATTCTTCCCAAACTGATTTATATATCCAATGCAACTGCAATAAAAATTTCAGTATAAGGAGAAAAGGTTGTATGCAATGTGAGATAATATCCTACAGCAAAAAAAGTACACTGATGATAAGAAAACTGATGAAATTCATGTAAGTTTTTTTTTAAGATTTTATTTATTTATTTGAGAGAGAGGTGAGAGAGCAATGCAGCGAGAGAGAGAGCCTGAAGAATGGGGGGAGGGGCAGAGGGAGTGGGAGAAGCAGGCTCCCTGCTGAGCAAGGAGTCAGATGCGGGGTTCCATCTGAGGACTCTGGGCTCATGACCCAAGTCAAAGGCAGACGCTTCACCACTGAGCCACCCAGGCGCCCCTCATATAAGTTTTTTAGTAATACTGTACCAATGTTAATTTCCTTGTTATGATAATTGTACTATGATTATATAAGATGTTAGCACTAGGAAAAACTGGGGTGAGGGATACAAGGGGACTATCTATACTTACTTTTTTATACATTTAAGAGTACTTCAAAATAACATAATAAAAAAATCTCAGCAAGATTTAAAACAAAAGAAATTGACAAGCTGATCCCAAAATTTAGATGGCAAGAAAAGGGAATAAAAAGAGCAAAACAGGGGCGCCTGGGTAACTCGGTTGGTTAAGTGTCTGCCTTTGGCTCAGGTCATGATCTCCAGGTCCTGGGACTGAGCCCTGTGTGGAGCCTGCTTCTCCCTCTCCCTCTGCCCACTCACCCCGCCGTTCATGCTCTCTCTTTCTCAAATAAATAAATAAATAAATAAATAAAATCTTTTTAAAAAAATCTTAAAAACAAAACAATTTTGAAAAAGGAGAAAACTGGAGGGCTCACAATATCTAAGAATTATTTAAAAGCTACAGTAGAGGGCGCCTGGGTGGCTCAGTTGGTTAAGCGACTGCCTTCGGCTCAGGTCATGATCCTGGAGTCCCGGGATCGAGTCCCGCATCGGGCTC